AGTCACCTGAGCACTGAGGAGTGGGAAGGGGGTGACAAAATGGCAGGAACCTGGAGGGCAGAGCCAGAGCGGAGAGAAAAGTCCTCTCTCTCTCCCTCAGGGAAAACAGCTGACTCTCTGAGGGAGCCCAGAAGACACAGAGGATGGAATAGAGAATCAGCATAGATCTTCAAGTGGGGGTGGGTGGTGCATGGCTGGGTGTGTGTGTGTGTGTGTGGGTGTGTGTGTGTGTGTGTGTGTGGAGGGGGAGAAATTTGGGGGGAAGGAACATGACAGTTGGTGCTGAAGGCTGAGCCCGTGACTCACCACCACCCCCAGGCTCGTGATGGGGCGGAGACACTGACACTCTCACGTGCAGCCCCCCAGCACATGTGACCACATGCCTCGCACACACAGTTGGCACGTGGCATTTCAGACTATACCAGGCCTGGCATGGTGAGCTCTGACTATGTGGGACATACCCAACAAACATGTGACATATACAGCTGAGGACCACCAGTTCTGCACATAACCTCTTTCGTCCTGCGTCCTACTAGGATTAACACCTACAGTCTCCTTGACTCTGCTCCCACCGAGCTTAGGGCCAGCACTCCGTGCCTGCCTCTAGGTCTTTGCTGATCCAGGTACGTTCACCATCCGGCCTTCCTGTCTGTCCCCAAAAGTTCCAAACCAGTGCTACCACCAGAATGTCTGACCAGGCCTCAGCTTCCTCTGCAGAGACAGGATCTGACCTGCCCAAGTAAGTTGGGATGTCCAAGCAGGTTTACAGAGAGGAGCCTGAGAAACTGAGCTAGAACCTCGAGAGGGAAAAGGAGGCAGGAACAAACCCTGCCTCCAGAGCATGGAAGCTGCCTACGGTGGAGCCTGACTTGCCCATTGACCCCTGCACAGTTGACTTCACCCCAAGGGCAAACCCAGACTACATTAGACAGCAGCCAGTCCCTGACCTTAGAGTTCACCAGGTTCCATCAACCGCTTTGTTCATCTTTTTTATTTTCAAAACCTGCAGCCCGGCTCTCTCCCCCCATCCTTCCCCTAACCCATCCTTCGCTTTGCTCTTCTTGAAGTCAACCATTTACTCCATGACTACAAACCATCCACCCACTAGGGAATTGAGTATAGACCTAGGGAGGTAATTCTTCTCTGGGGTGGAATGACTTTCTTCCCTATGGGAACTTGGACACATGATTTCTCTGTGGGCCTCTGTGTCTTAGCACCTCAGGGTAGTTGTTTTTCCCTGAGAGGGTTGATGGGAGAATTAAACAATACATGACAAGCACTGGGCAGAACCCCTAGTGTCACCTAACACACTCAGATGCCAGCTTTCATTAGGCACCTTCAGACCCTAATAAACATAAAATACTAAAAGTAACTTCTCAAGCCAGGCAGAGTGGTGCACATCTTTAATCCCAGCAGGCATAAGTAGGTGGATCCCTTTAGGCCAGCCTGGTCTATATAGAGTTCCAGGGCAGCCAGGATTACATAGAAACCCTACCTCAAAAAATAATAGTCTATATAGCAGTGTTTAGTGCTTCCCAACCCTGAGACAAAGACTGCCATTCTTTTTTTTTGGTTTTTCGAGACAGGGTTTCTCTGTGTAGCTTTGGAGCCTATCCTGGCACTCGCTCTGGAGACCAGGCTGGCCTTAAACTCAGAGATCCTCCTGCCTCTGCCTCGTGAGTGCTGGGATTAAAGGCGTGAGCCACCAACACCCACCCGGCAAAACTGCCATTCTTTATCCCAGGAAAAAAAACTGAGACACAGTGGAGTTGTTTAGCCCAAAGTCACAGCTAGGAAGCCCAGGGCCAGCATTCAAGCCAAGCAGCCCAGTTTAAACACCTGGGCCTGCTGTTAGGGAATTTAGTGAGAAGTTAGGACATCCAGTTAGACACCAGAAAAAGGGCACACAAAAGGTGAAGAGCCTGCATTCAATCGCCTAGTTTTTTGGCTTCAGAAGGGGAAATGGCCCAACTCTGAGACTAGGGTTTCTTATCTGAAAAATGAGGGGCAGAATTTGATTAAACAGGTTTTCTCATCTGGACAGAATTTGATCAAATGCACCTCTGATCTTGGATTCAAGGAGCTTCCAGAAAACTTTGGAGTCTAAATTTGGAGTCCAAATACAGACACAGAGCATCTTCCTCAGTCACTCTCCACCAAGTTATTATATTTAGGTGTGTGTGTGTGTGCTTGCATGCACTAAAAAAAGACAAGAAGTTTTCCAGAGGCAGGATGAAGCAGTAAGAACCTGCCATCTTGGGGGCACCCAGCGGGCAAGCACAAGGGCAGGGGTTTGGGGCAAAGTGTGGGATGTCGAGGCACTCAGGTCAGGGCTCTGAAGTCCGGTGGCTTCCAGCCCAAGAACCCCCGGGGCCAGTGGCAGAAAATGAGACACCACTCTGTGTGAATGGGAGAGGGAACCGGGCAGCAGCAGTGAGACCGAGAGAAAGGGGGAAACCAAGGCTGAAAGCTTTATTATTTTTTTTATTAAGGGGGGGAATAAGTAAGGGTGGGATATAAATGAAATGTTAGGAGAGTTAAGTCTAGGGGGAGAGGAAAACCTGTAAGGGTTTTTGGTTTTCAAGACATGGTTTTTCTGTAGCTTTGGAGTCTGTACGAGAACTCGCTCTGTAGACCAGGCTGGCCTGGAACTCTGAGATCCCCCTGCCTCTGCTTTCTGAGTGCTGGGATTAAAGGTGTGCTCCACCACCACCACCACCACCCAGGGACGGGGTCTCTTGTGTGTAACCCTGGCTGTCCTGGAACTCCACGCCTAGGGGTCCTGAACTGTGTGGAATAACGGTCACCCCGAAAGAGCAATGACGCCCGCCTTTAGCACTCCCCCAAACACAAGAGGCAGAGCCAGGCGGATCTCTGTGAGACTGTCTCAAAAACAAGAACAAAAACCCAAACCGGGGCTGGAGAGATGGCTCAGAGGTTAAGAGCACCGACTGCTCTTCCAAGGGTCCTGAGTTCAATTCCCAGCACCCACATGGTGGCTCACAGCCACCCGTTATGAGATCTGGAGCCCTCTTCTGGTGTGCAGATAGACATGGAAGCAGAATGTTGTATACATAATAAATAAAATCTTTCAAAATAAAAAACAGCCCAAACCGATCCACCGGGATCCACTGCCCCAGCTTCCTCCAAAGGAACGTCACTGAGCCTTTTGCTCCCTCCTTCCGTTTCCCACTTCCTGTCAGGGACTTTGGTTTTTCCTCTTCCCCTAGACTTCCTCTCCTAACATTTCCTTTCCCTCCCACCCTTCCCTGTTTCCCCCTCTTTCATCCCCCCCTTAATAAAATAATAATAAAGCCTGGATCCAGCCTTGGTTTCCCCCTTT